TTTACTGATAATTTAATTATTCTTAATTGTAATGTTTTTGATTTAGTTAAAGATATCTATCCTAAAGAACTTAATTTAATAAAGACTAACTCACATGAAAATGGCGGTAACTTTTTAGATCTTGATATTAAACTTCATAACCAAAAATTTTTCATTGGATTTTATTGTAAACGAAGAGATTTTAAGTTTGATGTTATTAGTTTAACACATTTTAATTCCAACCTATACTTTAAAATTTTCAAGATTATTTTGATTGGTCAAATTATTAAGTTTAAATTTATTTGTAATAATGAAACAAATTTTCTCTTTCAGCTATTAGGAATTTCAAAATTACGTTTAAGAATAATAATTTTCCTTTTAATTACAGTAATTATAATTTTTTAATTTAAAATATTTTAAAGACGTTCAACTAATTCGTCAGATATTGAAGCCCGCATTAATAGGTTTATGCGGTGAAGTTTGGGATTTGTTCCTGAAGAATATAGATGGTAGCACGTTATTGGAATTTTTCATCATTGAATGTTTTTGCTGTATTTTTCAAGAATTTCGAAAGGGACCAGCACTTGAAATATTTCCAAAGAATTTTTTAAGGATTTGGCAATTTATATTTTATTTTGATACGGTAATTCTAATATTCTTTATCTTTATTTATTTGTCCTATGTGCGGACGTTTAATTATTAGTTCTTACTCGGTGTAGTTTTAAATTGTATTTGTAAATCGTAAATGGGTCCGATAACTTGTTTATATTAGAGTTAAATTTTCTAGTAGCGGTAATTTTTTCAAAAAAAACTTTTTTTTGATATTTTTTTTTTTAAATTTAAGTAGGTACTATGTCAGAACGATGTGTCAAAATGATTGAAATGAGTAAAAAAATAGCTAAAATTTTGATTGGTGATAAAACTACGATAAATTCAGATTTAAGTGTCTGAAAAAATAGTAACTCGATTGTCATTGGGCATTAAGCTTCAGTTGGTATTAAAATAACTTAGTAAAATGAAAACAAATGGTCGAAAATTTGATAAATTCCTTTTCGATATGAAATGACTGAAGATTTGTGTTTATCAGGTCAAGAAACTATAAAAATTGTATTGTTCATTCACTGCTTCAGCCGAAATTTGAAAGTCTTTCCTAGTCAAAAATTGGTAGAAATTTTGATTGCAAGATTGCAAACTTACACAAAACGGAGTTATAAATACATTATAAAAGAATGAAACACGTTTAGGATGAAGTTGTGATGTTATTGCTACGTATAATTTATAAGAGTTATAACTAAAAGCAAAGTTTTCATTAAATAAGAAGGTTGATAATTTTAGTTTTTAGAGTAGTCTCAAGTCAAAATATCAGTCAATTAAAATCTATATATATATTTCTCTTACACGGCACCAAAAAAAAGCCTCATTACAACTCCCCGAATGGCAACGTTAGAAAATCGACCAATGATTGCTTCTAAAAATGTCACATGGCAAATGTCACATGAGGTGGCTCAACATATAGCGCTTTTAAAAACGGAAACAATAACCAGAGTGAGCATTATCAGGTTGTTCAATTCAGATTCATGCCCTAAAAACATGATAATATTTAATTTAAACTCAATTAGGAATTAATTAGGCTGGCCTTCTCCATGACTATAAATAAGTCACAAGGTCAGACTTTTGAGAAAATCAGTTTAGTATTGACTAAACAAGTTTTTAGTCATGGACAACTTTATGTTGGCCTGTCAAGAGTTAAGTCATTTGACAGCCTTTCAGTAATTGCTCCAAGATGCCAAATCTATAATTGTGTTTTCAAAGAAATTCTAAATGCTTAGTGTTAATTTCTTAGAGCTTTGCAGAAAAAAATGTTTTTTGGAAAAAATTTAATTGAAACTTCTATTGGCAGTAGGCAAGGGGAACTGCCAAAATCAAAACTCCCCGATTAGAAATGCAGCATGGCGACCTCCACGTGGTATTTCTCGGGTAATGCTAACAGCCATGCATTTTAATTTATTGTATGTAAAACATCCTTATTTTGTTCTAAAATGTTATGTACTTTATCACAAATGTTAATTAATATAGAAATTGATTTCAATAATGCTGATCACCAAAAAATATTTCATTTGGCGATAAAACAAATTTTTGTGTTCTTGAAAATGAAAGACTTTTTGAGGGTTATTATCTCACAAGGAAAAGTTAGGGTTTAAAGTTTATATTTTTAAATAATAAAATTTTTTTCTAAAACTTTCAGAATTTCTAGCATTAACTAATTTATTATACACATTTAGTTGAATTTAGGTGAGTAACTGCAATATTTGATAATTTATTTTGCTAATATGTTTCTCATTTAGCTAATGTTTTGATTTTTTCACCATGTACAATCTAAATAGCTAATATACTTTTTTAAAAGCCAATAAGAACATTGGTAGAATTCTTCTACATAAGTACAATACTATGTCTTTGATGATAAAATACTATGTCTTTGATGATAATATATTATGTCTTTGTGCTAGAACATTGTGTTCATTGGCGAGCGAGCGCAGCGAGCCATGGTTAACGGCGTGAACCACATAGGATTGCGTAGCAATTCTCGGGGGTTGGCGAGTGTTAGCGAGCAGGGGGCGGAGCCTCATAGTATAATTTATTGCTTAATCCATGATTATTCTTGTTTTCATCAAAAAATATCAAATTCAGCAATTATTTTGGCAAATATTTATTTAAATTATTATATTTTAAGCACTCGCACATCATTGGAACTGAGGACATTTTCATCCATTAATGAATGCAGAAAAACTGATAAATTGATGTATAAATATAAATATGGAACGATTGCATTATATACTGGAATTGTCGACATTTACTAAACGTGAAATTTTCATCAATTGATGAATGCAAAAAAATTAATGTATAAACTTAAATATGGAACGATTACATCACATACTGGAATTGTCGATTTTTACTAAAAGCAAAATTTTCATCCATTAATAAATGCGAAAAAATTGATGTATAAACATTATATTTAATGCATATGTTCCTCATTGATATTTTCGAAGTAATTTTCAATTCTACAATAGTTACAAAACTTTAAAGTAAAGAAAAAATTGCAATTTAAATAATTTTCAAAAGTTGTTCATCGTCTATTGAAATGCTTTCGTAATTCAGAGGAAGCAGCAAAAAGTAAACATGACTATTATTTGCAATTTCTGTAACTCAAGTTGCTTTTCAAAGATGCTTAAAATCAATGATGCTGAAAATTTTAAAAAGTTTACTGCCCTTTAACTTGACAAATAAAGTGATAAATTGTTACAAATTTAAGCAGGCATGCATTAATGTGCAATCAATGTGGGCTTAAGCTCTTAGTAAACATTCAGATGCTGCAGCTTAAGAAATGAACAATTTTTTTTTATTCCACTAGAATGGCAGCTTCCTTTTCAACGGCATTTTTTGAGCTATTGCCATTCGGCGATTAAGAAAAAAAAAATGATGAGTTAAAGTTGAAAGCCGGAGATCTTTTGTGTGGTCGGAATCTGTGGCAAAGAGACAGCTCAGCTGAATGCTTCACCGGTCGCTGCGCATTGCACGCTGTGGGTTTCTGTCACGAAATTGCAGTTCCGTGTAATCACGCTGGTGTTCTTCTAAGACGAGATAGACGAAAAATAGAGGGTTGAGTTAGAAGAAAAAGGGGGTGTCTGTCAAAAGTAATTGGAGACACTTCCACAAGAGAGCACTCATTATCTTTTAGGTGTGGAAGGAGTTGGGAGATGAATTGTAAATTTCAGGTTTATTTGAAATGGAGTCTTACATATACTTAGGTAACACATGATACAGAAAAAAAATAAAAACTCATCACATAATGAATGTTACAATGTATTCTAAAATGTAAAAGCTAAAGAAAATTCTTCAACTAGGGATTGCAGCTCTGTCTTGAGTAATTAAGATGGTGTTTTTAAAATGAAAAATGGCAACCAGTTCTGACTTTCGCATATTAATGATTAATTTTCTCTTAGAATCGGAATGTCTGATGCACGACTCCTACGAGTCCTAAAAAAGTGATTTGTGATAATAAAAAGTAGACTAAACTTGATCGTTTAATACCCAATATGCAGTCTCGGAGCTCTAAATGACCGAATCTAAACTTTAAAAAAAAAAAAAACGTTCATTAGCAGGTGCAAATATACAAGCGAAAAAAAGGTTCAAATTAATTCTGAAACATTATTTGAGAATGAAATTTTTTCATTGTTTCATCAGTGAGTCTCAAAATTAATATGTTAGGCAGTTAAATTCACAATCTGCAGAGACTATGTATTTTTGCTGTATATGTTAAGTCTAACAGTTTTTGCCGTAGAGTTGAAATTGAATAAAATAAGTTGAATTATAATTTTTGCAAAAGAACTTTTATTAAGTCACGAAGGCTAACGACATTACCCGTGGCACGCTGCAACAGATACCGGTTCATAAGGTGGCCGACATTCACACAGCGAAGGACAACACACATAAAGGCATTGATGGCTTGAGCGGGATTCGAACCCACAACCATAGGCTTCGCAGTCAGGCACGCTGACTGTTCTGCCACCTAACCGGCTTTTTTCACAAACTAGAATGCTCAATTTCTATTCGCAAGACCTCTGTGACTGAGGTCAATACAAAATAAGTAAAAAAATAATTTTCTGTGTTTCCACGCTAATCGATAGCTAATAATTTTTTTTTCATATTTTGATAACTTTCTAAGACAAACAAGGAAAGATGAAACTAAATGTAAGAAAAATAGAAAATAAAATATATATTTCTAAAACAATATTTTCGTATGTTCACTAACAAGAGATAGTTTTATCAAACCTATAACACCGAAAAAGATATTTTTGTCAAACATGAGACAAGAAACGATTGGTGGATCCCTGAACTTCTATTACTCCTGAAAACTGTCCCCGCCCTCTATAACTTTTGCAAGTGATAGGGATCAAAAGTTTTAGTTTTAAGAGTAATAAAAATAAAATATTATCTAAAAAAATAAAATTAATGTCACTTACCAGACTTCAAAGTTAGTTGACCTTCAATTAATTGTGTTGTTAATGAGAGCTAAAAATTGAAATTAAATGTATCAGTATTCATATGAAACAAATAATTCGATAATACTTCATCAATATCAATAAAATACAATTAGAGTAAAAAATAAACGTGCATTTGACCCAATTAATAGTTACGCAATAATAAAATAAGACAACATAGTCTACCGTAAAATTCTGTCCGAAAGAAGGGCAAATTCTGTAAGAAAATTGTTTCCGTAGAGGATCAGAAGTAGGACAGAATTCCTCCCACTGTCTTTGAATGGGAGAAAATAATATTACTACTATGTTACTACTAAAATACTACTATATTACTACTAAAATGCTACTATATTACAACAAATATTTAAATAAACTTACAACCACAATAATACATTTTGAGATTCGCAATAATCTTATTCTATAGTAAGTTGTATTAGTCCTAATTAATTAGTAGTAATAATATTTCTTTTAACAATTTTATTTAAATACCAATTTTTTTTATAAATTCTTTGCTTAATACTAGGGAATATTTGTGCCGCTTGACCGAGCAGTATCACCCACCAAGCGCTTTGTTAAACGTGGATGTCCTTCTCTGTATTGTGCTATCTGTTTTCAACTTGACAAAGGTTTATAAGCCTTAATTGAGCACACAAACCTGCAAATGTATGTTGTACCAATAAACCAGCTTGACCACTAATAATTATACTTTTTATATTTTGATATCATCAGTTTTAACCATCCCATTTTGTTTAAAATTTAGACCCACGATTAAAAAATATAAGTGGGGAAAGATAAATATTTATGAGCTTTATTTCAAACTATATCTTCAGGAAATAGTTTTTTGCGATTGCTATTTAGTTACAAGTTACACCAGGGTTATATTTATTGACCTAAGGATGCAACACATACAACAACCGCTTCTGTACTAATTCTATGTAAAAATATTTCTTTTTACAAACAATGTTTTGGAAGATTTTACATATCAAAACTGTTGGCACACATGAAAGATTATGCTTGAAGCTTTTAGAAATGGTGTCATTTTTAACCATGCTAAGATCGCGTTTTAAGCTAATAACTTTTTTCTAGCTTGAAAACTAGTAATTTTGAAATCATTCTATTGGATTGCATTATTTATAATAGAATGCGTTTTTAATTATACTGATGATAATGAAAGAGGAAAGCATAAATGAAATTTTCTCACTACCAGGCATTTATATTTTCCGGATTAGTAGCTACCAGCCGCACAGCGAAGTTTGATTTCATATTAGCGATGCTACTGTCATGTATATAGTCCCATTTAACCTAGATTCTCAATTTTGTTCTTATATCTTTTTTTTAACCTTTTTTTATGCATAGTTATTCTTCTTAAAATTGTATAATTTAGATAGGTTTTATTGAATTGCTTACTTGCAATTAACTGCGATGAATAACCAAATGCCGAAAGGCAGACACCTTAAATACTTTTACATTAAAGTATTAAACATTACTTATATTTTTGGGAATCATAAATATTAAGTTTTTCATTTGCTTCAGTAAAAATGATTTTGTTGCTAATATTTTCACTATATGCTATATGCCTAGGGCGATTAAGAATTTTGGCGTTAGGTATAAGGAGGTGATTGGCGACTTATAGATCGACTAGAGGACTAGTGTAATCTGGTGAGAGGACTAGTGGAATCTGGTGAAACCACAATCATACCTGCCAACTTTTACGCATTTGGCGTAAAATTTTATTTCTGTATTTAAAGTGGTAGTAAAATGTATGTTTTCTATATATTCCTTGCATTTTTTAACTTAATTTAAAATCTTTTTGACCACCACTATTTTTATAAAAATGAAGCATATATATTAATATGCAATATTGTTGTAGTAGTCCGCATAAGGTTTTTAAAAATACAGCTATGTTTCAAAACAAAATTGTAATTTGAATTCTATATTACTACCACTGGGGAAATTTTTTTTCGAAAGGATTAAAAGTTGGCAGGTATGCACAATTAATAAACTACCACTTGAAAATATTTATTCGCTGCCCGGAGCAAGCTGGTATCACAGTGTATATAAATAAAACTTTTCTGTGTGTTCTATATTGCATTAATTTTTTCAAACCATTTTAGCAACGATAATAATATAAAAAAATATAAAGAGTTACTGGAATTATGTGTTTCTAATAATCTTGACCTCGCCGGTCACCGGTGACCCCCGTGGCATTCAACGTGTTAAAAAGAAAATTATGCTAGGACGGAAGGAAGAAAAATTGGTAACAGAACAATTTAATTTAGGGTTGCAATAAAATCAATAAGCTTTTTAATTCTTCTTAATGAAATTAAGCTGATTCTTAATTTTCAGCTATTCACCAATATTTGCTTCTTTAANATACAATATTCAAAGTCAAATTTCCAATTTAATTCTTCATAAACAGCTTTTAAGAATATAAACAAAACTATTCAAAATTTCTCCACACATTCTTTCCTCCAGTTCGATATTTTGAAAATGTATTCGATTTCAAGTAAATCGCACGTGATTTGTAATGTTGTCATTTCGCTTGACTTTTCCTTCCGTGATCGCTGAATGCAATCAAAATGTAATCATTCGCATTATATCCCCCCCTACAGGTGGTTATTTTCGGAGGTCATATCAATGAGGTAAGCGATGAGTGAGTAACTGTGCGCGACGGCAGAATGCGTGCGTGAAATGAAGTGAAGCGAGATAGAGTCAGCTTCCTCGATTACTGCCGCTGCTTCTACGAAGTCATTGACCACCGAGCATAGCTTGTTTGAAGAAGAAAAAAAACACTCTTTCTTTTAAAGAGCACTTTTTGTTTACCAATTCTTATCATCGATGAAAAGAGAAAGTCGTACTTGCGTTCGCAAGGCTGCCAACTTTCTACGCTTTTGGGGAATTTTTTTTTAATAGTGGTAGCTAAATTTTTTATGGTGGTAGCTAAATTTTTTTATAGTGGTAGCTAAATCGTGAGAATGATTCAAGAAGGTTTATACGAAACTCCACTATTTTCCAGCTCCTTAAATGCGGTGACGTTTTTAAAATGTTGGGTAAATTATCAAAAATTCTGAAAGCTTTACTTTTTAATTTTCAGGAATTCAATAAAATATTTTGCGAAAACCAAAGTCGTTGGCATCCCAGTGTTCGGAGGAGGATTTTTCTAACATGTGCTGTGGATTCAGTACAGTATTTTATTTTAACTATAGTACAGGCATTGGACAGCCAAGCCGTATTGGATTTGCGGGTATCGATATTTTGATTTGTTTTAAAGTAATACATGCAGCCTTCTGCGTTCATTAGAATTACGGCTTATAAGCACATAGCACAAATTTGAAACAAGAAAGCGCAAATTAAAGAAGGATATTGCAAAGATACATCCACGGTGGGATTCGAACTCGCTACCTCCAAACTACAAAGCGTTAGGTGAATTGGCAAGACCGCTCGGTCAGAAGGTTCCTATCAATATTTAATTTCATAGCGTTGCAATTTTTAATTCAGCTCAGAAAATCAGGTAGCTTTTCGATCAAGTATTGAGAATGATTTGCTCCCGTAGAGAATTTTTGAAAGAACTACTCCGCATTATTTGGGTTACATGGAGAAAAAAAGAAACATGACAATCTTCCACTGCTAGACACGAGGTAGCTTAAAGAATAGAGCACTCGCCTTCCAATGATTGTTCGAGTCACCGCGATGGCTGGTTGATACGAATTCCGCACCCGGCTCTCACAGATCACAGTGCTGATGTAAAATATCCTCTGTGGTAGACGGTTCATGGGTTAGAGTCCCCTTGCCCTCATGCAATTATTTCATTCCTAGTTTTAATCTTGAACAAATAAAACATTTCTGTCTATCAAGATATGTAAGTACTATATAGTTTCCCATTTTTACTGATGTAACGTCACGAACGGACTTTCCTGCTACCCATAAGTTACACCGAAGGCGGTTGTTTGCATGAGGGAAAACTATTTGTTCATTTTCTAAAAGATGGTACAATGTAGAATCAGTAAATTTATATTGATGGAATTATACGTGCTTTAAATTTAAGTGCTAATATGAGAAAATACCCATTTAATGTAAACACTAACGAGCTAGCACTCTTTTATGACACTCATTAAAAAATTAAAAATCTAGCCATAATGGGTTGAGACAATAAAACTCGCAGAAGAATACAGTCAGTGCCATGTTTAGCAACAAATTTTAAAGTGTGCCCCATTTAAATAATGCCACATTGATTTTACGTCATAACTGGGAGCAAAGAAAACCAAATATAGATATTGAAAAATTCTTCATGCAAATAAATATTTATAAGGAGTTGCCGAGTTCCTGTCTCACCAGAACAGGAAGAAAAAACAGATTAAGTAAAAATGCCGAAAAAAGTGTCCCGCGAAATAAAGCTACAACTGTTAATAGCCAATATATCTCCAAATTATATTGGTTTTATTTGCATCCAGTTACAGCACAAAATCAAGGCGGCTTCATTTCAATGTGACCCGCCGTAAAAAAAATATATAGTTCAGTGTGAAATAAATTGAGTTTATGAACGCTTACGAAAAATAAAATTAAAGATATAGGTAAAAAATATACACAAAAATGTAATTTGAGTGAGCGCGTGTCTCCAAAATCATTGAAACGGAACAGAGCTCTCACCTAGTATGTAATTAGAAACAATTGAGAAAGTATGTTGGGTGCAGGAAGACATAGGTTAGTTCTCGTTAAAAGACTGTTTCAAGCGTGAAGAACTGCATTAAAAGGACTGAAATACTATATTATTCGAAAATTCGCATTATTCTGCTACGTTAGATTCTAAAAATCCCTATTTTGAAGAGGAAATGTTTATGAACGTTTAAGAAAGTATAATTCGAAAACAGTAATAGTCATGGCATACTATCAAATTCTCAATAGTCAGGTAGTGACAATTAAATGGAAGAGTAGTCGCTAACTATTACCAATTTTTATTGTCAGCAATTCATTTGTTGGTGGAACTAAAGGACCTAACATCCTGATAGCTTCGATCATTTGCATCCAAACCTG